GTGTGTGTGTGTGTGTGTGTGTGTGTGTGTGTGTGTGTGTGTGCACGCGTGTGTGCGCGTGTGCGCATGCATTCGAAGATGTATGGCAGAGGGGATGCACGGCGCATCAAGGGCGGCCCCGCGCAGTGGCCCCGCCCGCCGCAGTCCTCCAAACCCCGCGGATGGCGGCGCCTCACCGAGTCGTACGCGCGTATGAGCCCAAAGTCCTGCGCCCAGGCCTTGTTGCGCAGCACCGCAAATTGCTCCGCCGTCAGCAGGCTGGCGGACAGCAGCGCGTCGAGGCGCACCAGCAGGCTGCTGACCAGCGTGCGCAGCGCGCCGCCCTTCAGGGCCGGCAGAACGAGCCCCTCCTTGTGGGCGAGCTCGACCACCAGCTGCGGGGCCGGATGAAAGTTTGGGGGCCAGGCAGGGGTGGTCGCGTCAGTGGGTGCGAGGGGCGCCAGGGTGCGCGACGGGCGGGGGCGCGGGGCGCGGCGAGTTTGGGGTCGCGAATGCACCGGCGTGCAAGTGGTTGCGGCGGAGCAGGGTGGGCTGTGGCTGATGCATGCAGCAAGATGAAGCGGCCGCCGGCAGCCTCCTCAACATGCAAGGCGGCGCTCCAAAGCACGCAGCACGAGCGGCGGCGCCTGGTGACCCCCGGGCGGCTCACGTTCCAATTTTTGCCCGAGTTGTTGTCCCATGCCTCCCCCCAGCCGTGGCGCACGCCCTTGAAAACCAGCTGCACCTCCGCGTGGCTGGGGTTGGCCAGCTGGCTGGCTGGCAGGCTGGGGCGGAGAGGTTGCAGGAGGCGGGGGCCCGCGGCGGGTGGAGGGGCGGCAACGTGGCGTTGGCGGGAACGGTGTCGTCATCCCACAGCCGCGCAGGGCCGTTGCCGCTGACGTGGGCGACAAGCGTTAGGAACCAGTCTCAATCAAAGGGCCCCCAAATGCATTGTACGGTGTTTTATGAAGCAGTTCGCATGCATGCGGAGCTGGCGAGGCGCAAGTGGGGGCCTCACAAGTACACGCCCTCCCAGCGAGTGGGGTCTGCCTCGCTGCGGGTCAGCTGGACGTCCTGCCTGGAGTGGTCGGATCAACGCGTTGGTGCAGGCGTGACAAGACCCCAGAAGGGGGGCTGCTTTGGCCGCTACTGAAAGGCACTGCACTCTGATAGCGCCGGCAAAGTCTGGTGGCCCCACCCCCAACTCGATCCCGACACACACATGCAGGCGACTGCAAGGCTGCGCCGCTGCAGCTGGCCAGGCGCCGTTCCCGTGCCGCTGCATCCGATCCGCACTTGTCGAGCCAGCCGCTGTGGCCTGCGTGAGCGTAGATCAGGTCGCAGCTCTCCAGGGGCCGCCCTGTGCTGCAGTAGGCGATCTGTACCTTGTAGGCGGGCTGGTCAACGGCCATCGCAACGCACCCGCTGGTCGTGACCACGCCGCCGGGCTCAGGCTCCCGCGATACAGGCGGAGCAGCCTGCTGCTGGGGCTGCTGCTGCTGAAGGAACGCGCGGACAGCCAGGCAGCGGCGGGAGCGCCGCACGGGCGGGAGCGCCGGACGTGTTGGCTGGGACAGCAGCCCGCGCTGGGGGCGTGGCAACGCCTTGGGCTGCATCGTCGCCCGTATCATCCAGCTCATAAGTGATTTGTTCTGTCACACCGCTGCCGCCGGGACTCCACGCGGTTCTGCAACGCCCGTGTAGACAGTACAGCTCGTCCAGCGGGCGTGAAAATGTGAAGACCAAGACACAAGGCTGGAGGTTCTGTATATGTGCCTAATAGCGCGCAAAGAAGCTGCCGTCAGTAAAAACGACGAGCAGTTTGAATCGGCACGCACTGTCGAACCCTCGCGTGAGCAACTGCTTTTCAGCACAACTTCAACGCATTATACCAAGGAACCCTTTGCGACTTAAAGCCGATATCACTGCTTCAGCGACACGCACCCCAGATCGCGGCGCCATCCAGCTCTGCGCAGTGCCGCGACGGCGGCCGCCCTTATCTGACAAGCATTGCGCTGCTGTCCCTGTGGTGTCCAGCCCAGCACCCAGCTTGTCGTCACCAATTTATTTCTCACAAACAATATAGGGCGCAACACACGTTGTGCTTGGCCCCAGCGTATGACCAGCTCCGTCGCTGCGTGCGTGGCGGCGGGATGCTTGGCAGCAGCGGCGGCGGCGTTTGGGCACCTGGCCGGCTCGTGCGGCAGCATTGCACCGGCGTGGGGCGCATGGGCCCCGCTGGCGTGCAGGGCGGCATGTGTCGGCCTCATGCTGTCTACCAACACGGTGATGATGACCCTCTATGTGCGCAGCCTGCGTGGTCTGCCGTCGCTCCAAGCAACGGTCCTCAGCAACGCGGCCAACATTACGATCACTGTGAGCGGATTCAAATGCACGTGATGACACGTTGTTATGCGCGGCTCTCCGAGGCTGCAGCGGCGCCCCCGCGGCCTGCGGCGGCCCCCTCGAAAACGGGCAGCGCTTCCCCACCTTGCAGCTTGCAGGATGGGCCCGCAGGCTTGCATGAGGGCCGGCATACCTGCTGCCTGCCTGCCGCATTTGCTCATGCGTCCTCCCCCTGGTCTCAGGGACTGCTGGGCCACACGTTCTTTGGGGAGCGCCTGACGCGGCAGTGGCTGCTTGGCGTGGCAATCGTGATCTGCGGCCTCGTCCTCATCAGCAAGGCGGCAGCGCTCCCTGGGGTGCCGGACCAGCAGCCAAGCAAAGGGGCTGCGGCTACAGCAGAGCGGGCTGCCAAGCGGGATTGATTCGCCAGCCATGGCTGGACGCCTCACCGCAGAAGTCCCGCTCGCGGCATGGTGTATTAGATGCCAGTGGCGGCGGCGTCGCCTGCAGCACCCTCCGGGGATGGCCCAGCGGCGCCGCAACTCTGCACTGCCGCACAGCCAGGCGCGCCGCCAGCGCGGGCAGCAGCGCCGGCGCTGATGGCGGCACCCTGGGCGGCCTCGCCCGTGGCGCTGCTAGCGCAGGCGCCGCCGCCGCCGCGCCCGCCGCGGTGCCGCCGCCGCAGCTGGCGCCGGACATTGGCACCCACAGCTTCCGCCTGCTGATCGCGTACGACGGCACCGACTACAGCGGCTGGCAGCTGCAGCCGCACGCGCCCACCGTCCAGCTGCACCTCGAGCGCGCGCTGACCACGGTACTGCGGGAGCCGCGGGAGACGCTCTGCGTGATCGCGGCCGGCCGCACCGATGCGGGCGTGCACGCGGCCGGGCAGGTAGTGCAGTTCCGCACCAACAGGCCGCGGGCGGTCGACCCGGCGCGGCTGCCGAAGCGGCTCAACTCGCTGCTGCCGCACAACATCCGCGTGTCTGGGGCGGCGGCGACGGCGCCGGACTTCCTCGTCACCAGCTGCGCCACCGGCAAGGCGCGCTGACGCGAGGGTGCCTGGGCGGGGGGGACGCATGGCCTGGCAGCATGAGGCTTGGGGTTGCCCTTGGCTGGGGGTGCAGCGTTCGCATCCATCCATCGCCCCTCTCAAGGTGTACTTACCACCAACACACAGCGAATGCGTCCGATCAACCCTGCCTTCTACCTGGTCTCACCCCAATGTTCTGCTCAGGTGTACGTGTACGAGATCGACACCGCGCCCATCCACGACCCGCTGACCGTCCGCTACCGCATGCACTGCCCACGCGACCTGGACCTAGCCTCCATGCGCGCCGCCGCGGCGCTGCTGGTCGGGCGCCATGACTTCACGCAGTTCAGCAACGACACGGCCGAGCGGCTGCGGCGCAACCCCGTGAAGGACCTGCGGCGCCTGGACGTTTTGGAGTGCGCCGGCGGCGCCCTGAGGCTGGAGGTGGAGGGCAGCGGCTTCCTTTACAAGCAGGCGCGGCTCGGGCTTTGGGCTGCCCCAGGGGTCGGGGCTGTGCATGGAGGCGAGGGTAGGGGTGCTGGATGGGGACCCACCACCGCTTAACGGAGGGGAGGAGCCAGAAGGCTGCTGGCCTCGCCCATGCGCACGCGGGATTCGCTGGGCCGCGATCAGTCCATCAATCTGGCATCGCCACGTGGGGCTCTCGGCGACTGCAGGTCCGCCACATGGTGGGGGCGCTGGTGGCGGTCGGCAGCGGGAAGATGGGGCTGGCAGACATCTCACGGCGCCTGGAGCTGGGCAGCAGCGAGGCGCCAGGTGCACCTTGCGGCTCTGCTGACGCTGCAGGCCGGGGACACTGGCTTCGCCCGCATGCAGGCTTCTTGGTAGCAGCATGTTGACATGCAGCATCTCCCGCATGCGCGCACCTTGTGTTAGCCCATCACCTCTGCTTGTCGCGAGATCGCATGACCAGCCTTGCGCCTGCCCTCCCATCGCCGGCTTATCACGCGCACATGCAATAACAGGCGCCGGCGGCACGTGGCGCGGCTACAATGTCGTCCCTGGCAAGGGCCTGTGCCTGTTCCAGGTGCAGTATCCCATGGGGGTGGACGACCCGAGCCGGCTCCTGTTCCCGGACCTGCCGCACGACGAGCACGGCCGGCTGCTTGCGGCCGCGCCTGGCGCGTTGAGCGATGAAGACAGCTGTGACTGAGAGCTCGGCGGCCAAGGGGCTCGCGCTGAGCGGCCGTCGGCCAGTGGATTGGGCCGCTGGTGTGGGCTACAGGAAGGCTGCGTGAACGCGCTCCTGTGCTTTGCTCACACCTTGCCGATTAACGTGATTTGCGATGCAACATTGCACCTCTCAATTCAAGGGTATTTTTGCTGCTCACGCGCGGACACACAGCCTTTTCATGACTCTGTGATTGGCGGCTGCTGCACAGCGCCGTGATGCTGTCCAGCACCGGTCTAGGTCCACCCTTGTGCCGCATCCAAACAGCCAGTGCTGCAGGCTAGCAAGGCACCTATACTACCTGTGATGCATTTTCAAGCGATGCAAGCACTGTGAAGTTGCCCATTTGCCCCGTGGTGTGTGCACTCCGTCACTCACTGGGAGGCATGAGGAAGGGGGGTGGTGGTCGGTCAGGTGGTGCAGTGAACAGCAGATCCTAACACTAGGAGCTGGTGTCACTGGGCAGCACATGAGTAGAGAACCGCATAACAGTGAATGTTCAGCTGGAATAAGCAGTCACCAGTCGAACCCATCATAGCCCAGCGCCGACCACGCAAAAATCAAACTGCCGATTGCAACGCCCGAAAACGCGACAAACGGTGAGTGAAAGTGTAATTGAAGTGATCTCGGGCTACCCAGGTCTCGCGCACATGAGCGTGGCGGGGCCAGGGGTTGATCACCGCAGTACTTGTCTGATGCCCAGGACCAGCTCTGCCATGCTAAATCAGATTCAACAATTTAGGGTGCAATGATCACAGTCAGGCCTCACAGTGTAACCGGGCCGCTGCAGTGCGCTGCTGGTTGCTGGTGCACCAGCGTCATGCGCGTACTCACCCTCCGAGCTGCCACACAGCTTGAATTGTCAAAGTGTCACGGCCACAAGCGAGCATGCTGTAGGCCAGCAGCGCCGGAAACCCCGCACACACATGTACCTGACCACCGCCACGTGCACGCATGGCTGTCCTTGCGCGACACACAGAGGCTCACCCGCCTGACAAGCGCCGTCGCCGCGCGTCTCTCATGCTCCAAGCCTGACATCAACCCTCTGGTCTGCCACAGACGGCTGCAGCACGGAACAGTGCACAAGCTGTACCCACTAGACAGCACCTGCACCGGGCCCCTGTGCGGCAACCATCCCCCAACCGCCACCAACCGCAGACGCGCCCCGGAATGGTTTACTTGAGCCAGCTGGCCGTTCGGCCGGCCCGAAGGGCCAAGCGCGCCGCTGAGGCAGCGGCCGGCCGCCGCAGCCACGCGGAGCGGCGCGTGAATGTCAGCCCCAGGTCAGCGGCGCCCCAAGGCGAGGTCGAGCTGCATGCGCTGGACGCGTCCCATTTGCGGCGCGCGATCAGTGGCGCGTGGCGATTTGAGGGGCTGCTCGACCCCGCGGTTGCGGCGGCCGCGCTGCAGATTGCCGTCGACCGCTTCCCCCTGGTCGCCGGCTGGCTTGAGCGCCACGGGACGGGGGGGCTGGCGCTGCGCTGGGACGCGGACGCGGATGGCCGCGGCGCGGCGTGGTACGAGGCCATCGCGCCTGGCTCGCCGCCGGAGGTATGCGGCTGGGGGCGCGCTCGCCCACTTCTGCGCTGCCCAGGGTGTGGCAGTTGATGACCTCCCAGCACGTGCTCTTGCAGGCGTTTCCTTTCAGCGCTGCTAATTGCAGGCTGACATCCACCCTCTCCACCCCTATGTCGCCCACCCTCACGCACTTCGTTGGGCACCTCTTCAGGTGACAGATGACGTCCTGCTCTACGAAACACAGTGCCTGCCCACCATGAAGCGCCACTGTCTGCTGGCCGCCAAGGTGGGGCGTGCTGCAACGCTGATCGACTGCAACCCAAACCCAGAGACCAGGCCTGCACGCTCATCTGCCGTCCGTACCCTCCCCATCCAGCTCGCCCCGCTCATAGCGGGGGCCGGCCCACACCCGAGCCACGATGGTCCTAAGCCGCCTCGCACCCTCTATCCCCGCGCCGCAGGTCACGCAATTTCCTGATGCCAACGCGACCCTGATGGTCATCACCATAGACCATGTGGTGGCGGATTACAAGTCCTTCCTGGACTTCCTATCCGCCTGGTCTGACGAGTGCGAAGCTATCGCGGCCGCGAGCCGTGGCGTCGGCGCCGCTCCATGCGCAAAGTGGGGCGCCAGGCCGGCGCCGGTGTGGGACCGCTCTCTGCTGGTCGACCTCTCCCCGCCGGTCAGCCGTGCCTCAAGCAGCAGCGGCAGCGGCAGCAGCGGCTCGAGGGACGGGACGCGAACGCCCCCCCAGGCGGCGAGCGAGGGCGGCAGCAGCGGGGTTGCGGACAACGGCGTCAGCAGCAGCGGCAGCGGCAGCACGGACGGGAGCTCTGCTGTTGCGCGCGCCGGCAAGGACAGCGCCTTCTGGGAGGGGGAGCCCGTGTGGCATGTCGACGTCCTCAGCCGCCGCCAGAACGTCCTCATGCTCGGCAAGGGGCTGCTGGGCATGGCCGGCTGCGAGAGCCGCTCTTGGGTGCTGCCGCGCGCCGCGATAGACGGCTTGAAGGCGCGCCTGAGCGGGGCCGCCGGCGGCGGTGCCGCTGTCCAGCCGACGACGAACGACGTCCTTAGCGCCTTGGTGGCGGCGAGCGTCGCCTGGGTGAGCCCCGGCAAGGTGGCGCGGCGCGGGGGCCTCAATGCACACGTCGTCGTCAACTCACGCGGGTGAGCAGGCGCTGCTGGCTCAGTGCCGGGGGAGAGGCGGCCCACGGATGGGGGGTAAAGAAAGCCCACCCGGCCAACGCCGCTCTGCACAGCCACTCCTGCAATGCGTGAGCCGCTGCTGCCAGCCGAGGTGGCGGCCGCTGTGTGTTGATGATTGGCATCCTGCCTGTCTGTCTTGGCGCGCAGCGTTCAGATCTTCCAGTATCTGCACCCGCTCCCTCCAGGCGCTTTGGCCATGCAGCGGGCGACGACTTCTTTGGCAACACGTCTCTCCTGGTCCCAGTGTGGTGCCCCGCCGCCCTGCTGCCGGCGGCCGACGCGCCGTCGCCAGAGCCCTCCGCGGCTCTCGCCGCCCACATCCACTCTGCCCTGCGCGAAGAGCTGTCCGCGCCGGCCGGCCTGATGCGGCGGCGGTACGAGTGGATGGCAGCTGCGCAAGGCGCGGGCGTGGGTGGCGCTGTGAGGTCGTGCGAGGCGGCGGCGCTGCTGGAGGGGGATGTGTGCATCGACAACGTCAGCAAATATGACGAGGTGTTCTCTGTCAAGGTGGGTGTTGTTGGTGTGTGTGCGTGTGTGTGTGCATTCGTGCGTGTATGTGTGCGTTTATGTGCGTGTGTATGTATGTGTGTGTGTGCAGTTGGCTGCGCCATCATGCGTGTCCCATGATGTGCAGCCGCATCATGTGGTTCCATACGCACCTGCACACTTCTGGCGACTTTGCCGCACATCCCCTCTGGTGGGTCGCAGTGGTGCAGGTGTGATCCTCCTGGACATATCTGCAGTTTTCTTGCCTCACAGCCTTTCAGCCTCCCCTCCCTCCCTGCGGCCCCCCCAATGCGTCGCCGCACAACTCTTTTCCAACCCCTGCTGCTCCCCCCCGCTTGCCACGTCGCAGTTTGGCGGCGCTGCCCCAGCCTCGTCCAACTCAATGAGGTTCCTGGCCTGCCCCCGCCTGGCCTGGGTCACGGCTGCGGGCCCAACCGGCCATCCTGCTGACGGTGACCGGCTGCCCCACACACCCCTGACGGCTTGAAAAACTCGCTACACAGGCTGCGGGTCTTCGTATGTTATGGGCCCTGCTGGCGCCATGGACGCCAGCAATTGGACCTGCTGCACCTCACGCGCTGCAGTGGCACACCACACCCAGACACGCGCTTGCTGACACCCTCTGCTTTTGCGGGCATCCCCCAGGCAGCTCCCACGGCGACCTGCGCGTGTCACTGGCCCTCAAGCGCAAGAAGTGGGCACGCCTGGCGCCCTGGTGGAAGGCGATGGGACTGCGCCAGGTGGGAGCACTGGGAACCTTGGACGTGATGATCTACCATCCCACTAGCCTGCGAAACCTGGTGTCCGAGGTCACGCGCACGCCTGTCATGGGGCTGTGACGTGGTACCTCAGGAGGCCCCGGCGGTGACAGCGCCTGGTTGCCTGAGCCCCCCCATAGGTGCTGGGGTCACAAAAAGACAAGGCCCCAGCACATGCATTGCCAATCAAGCCTCATTAACATTTGATCTCTTCATTTGTTAGCGCTTGCCTAGCAGCGCAGCCGCTCGGCCTCTGGCTCTTGATGCACGGCCCAATTGACCAATCCGTCGCCTCGCACGTGGTGGTCAGTGCACTTTGCTGATGCTGCAAATTTAATACACGTTCGCTCGATCCACTTCAAACATTTTATTGAGCACGCGCTTTCGCACGCACCACACTGGATATTTGGAAGCGTCATCTCATGACTGCATCTTTTGGTGCTGCATCACCGTGCGCCCTGTGGGGCCCCACAGCGAGCTCATTGCCTCTGCACCTTCTGGTCAAAGCCAGGTGTAGGGGCTCGCGAGCAGGGGCAGGTGCCCCTCCTACGCCTGCTGCTGAGTGTTGTTGCTTCTGCTCGACCCGTCTCATGCATGGCGTTGCAACCGTCATGCGCTCACTTGTCATTGGCTTCTGCACAATTCAAACGTCCTGAAGGCGGAAGGTTTTGGGAAGTTTCGACACGTATTGTCCATCAGGACCAGCAGCCTTAGTGCTGCAGCGCAGGCCGCCACAGGTGGCTACGCTCTGGCGCATACATATTAACGCACACACGGGGACGTCGCAGACCGCGGTGGGAAATGTTGAATGGTCGCGCCATCCACCTGCTTTCTTTTGTTGGCGCTCAGAGAAACGCGCTTACAAGCTGGCTTCACAGCACAAGGAGGCGACTTTCATATTGGACATTTTTAGGGCCACAGTATTACAACCTGCTGCTTTACATACACCACATCTCATTGTCTGGCAGTCGTGTGGCCTTCTGCGCCACCTGCTGAGTGCTGAAAACACTTTGACTTCGACGGTCGACCCTTGTCACCTGCTTCTGTCTGCAAACAATAACATATACCTGATGATTAGGTCTTCCCATGGCACCAGAGTAATGTGCTGCATGGATGGCCCACAGAGTGCATGGGGCCCCATCCTCACAAGTGTGAGGCGCGGAGGGACTGATTGCGAGTCTGAGGCGTTGCAGCTGCTGTTGACAGATCACCTGGACCCTGCAGCCTCCGCTGCGGCAATGCTGCTGTAGATGGTGTACCCTTGCCGGACACGCACGGCAGGTCGCGGGTCGGCAGCGTGCGTTCTTCCAAGGCGTTCACGCACTGTGCCAGCCCTGGCAGGTGAGACGTCACTTGCGAGCCATGCCCAGCCCAGCGCGCATTCCACAGCCCCCGCTCGTACATGCCTTTTCCAACACCCTCCGTTGCCACATTCGTGTCCACCCGCCTTACATCAGTGCTGAACCGACCTAATGCATGCCTGAAAAACGCTGCCGCCACGTCTACGCGCGCCGGGCTGGCTTGCGGCCCCGCGCAGCCCCACCGGCCGGCCCCTCGCCCTCCACCACCGCCGCGCCCGCGCCGTTGCGTGCCTTGCTGTGTTTGGTCCCTTTGCCGGCCTGCTTGAGTGCTTTGTACACACAAAAAGCCCCCGTCCCGCCGACGACGCTGGCCGTTGCAAGCAGCAGCTGCCACTTGACCGCGCTGGCGATGACCACCCACCCAGCAACGTCCTTCCTTGGACTTGACAGCAGGGCGAGCATTAGGAAGTTCTCGGCCGCGTCGGCGATGGCAGTGGCGACGGGTACAAGGTTAAGCAGGTGCATCACCTGGGGCGCGTCGATGACGGACAGGCTGACGCTAAGCAGGGAGGCAAAAAGCACGGCGTAGGCGCCCGAGTAGAGGAAATCGGTCACCTGGGGCCCGCAATGCACAAAGTTGGTGTTGAAAGGGTGGTCCTGAGTGGTGAGAGGGGGCCCGACTTTCGGGTGGGCCGCAGGGCAGCTAACGCCTCAGCTGATGACGTGGCGGCGGCCACGCGAATCAAGCCCTGCAGCGAACCCGCATTCGAGAGATTCTGATGAGAGAGCGCGCCGCCACACTCGACCTCTGCGGCGCCGTCCCACTGCGGCGCCACCCTGCCAGGGCCCCTGCGCCCTCCTGCTTTGCTTCCCTGCCGTGCCCACCTCCAGCATGACGGCTGTCATGCGCGCCTCTGTGCCGTACCCCTTCATAACGGCAAGCGCCTCATCTGCCGTGTAGCCGTTTGGCCGGTAGTCCAAGGGCGGCTCCAGCTCTGGCGCCAGGGAGGCTAGCCGCAGCTTGAGGCACAGGATAGATGCCTGTGCAAATGTTTCAGGTTGCTTGTCTGAAATGCAGTGCGTTTTGCCCCATTGCACACAGACAATCATATGGGGTGGCTGGTCACTTGCTGTTCAGAGGGCTGGCTGTAAAAACAGGAGGTTGATGGATGAATGTTGCTGGTATGTATCAGGCCAGCGTCGCACTCAAGAGCAACTTCAGCGGCGTCCGCGCTGCTGCTTGGTGCGTGCATCCTGATGCATGGCAAGCGCTGCAGTGGATGGTGTGGCGCGACTTCGCGTGCTGTCGCCCACCTGCAGCACGAAAAAGACTGCCAGGTTCGACCAAAATCTCTTCCATGCTGCCTTCTTACGCATCCATCTCGAAACGGCGAACAGCATGTTGTTGCAATGAATTCAGCAAAACGAACCGCTGAAAGGACAAGGTTGCCGGTGACTGCATCATGGCATGTGTGTGCCTGCTCGAGGCACATATATACGCCATGCTTGCTTGCGCACACATCGGCAGCGCACCCATCACCGTCACCCACCCGCCCAGGCACGCAGCAGCAGTTACACCATGGCAAGGGGTTGAGTGGTATCTCTTTTGTCTAGATGACCCGCTTCTCCTCTATGATGAACCTATCGTGCGCTCTTATTGCAATACGGCGGACAAATTGAGCGGCGGTGCATGGGCGGCGGTCCAGGGAAGGGGCGGACACAAAGGTGACGCTTTTGGGGGCTGATGCGGCGGGGCGCAGCTTGAGTGGATGAGTGGCGGGCAGGGCAACGCCGCTACCCTGAAGTGCCGCTGCTGTGGATCAAAGAAGTCAGCAGATGCGTGTGGCTATTCTGTGGGGCAGGTTTGCTCATGCCTGTTCTCCTGCAGGTGCTGCTGCGATTGTTGGGTTGGCTCACTGTGTGGTGGTCCAGACTCGTTGCGATCTGTTTGTGCGGCTATCGGTTCTAAGCGCCACTGTGGTGCGAGCGCTCGAGGGTCCAGCAGCGGGGCGCTGGGACGTGGCATGCTGCTCTGATCCCGTCTGAGCTTGCCAAAGTCAGCTGACTCCAAGACTCACACGCACCCCACATTGTCAGTAGCCAGCCATTCCATTGAAGTATCGCACAGGATTTGCCACCTAACGCTGCAGCACTGCATTCCGGGTCCAGTTGCGCCCAGCGCCTGCTGCGTGCAACAGCTATCAAGAACAGCTGACACAGGTGCATACTCACCGCCATGCCCGCCCACAGGGCCGTCCGTCCGATGGGCTTTCGCCATGTGAACTTTCCACCCCAAACCCGGCAGTGTGGCGCAGGTCAGCCTTGGCTTATCCCATTGTGTCATTATCTTCAGCCTTTGGCCCTGCAGCCGGTTTGATAAAGCCTCAGGTGGCACCAAGTCGGCTGCTTGGTCGGTAGCACAGTCACGCTCGTCAGCTAGGGGCTCGCTTGGGCTGTCCTCGTCAGCAGAAGCAACTAAAAGCCCCGACATCGCAGGCTGACGCCATTTGACCTGACACAGCGAGCACAGCGCCTCTTCAGTCTGCGCATCCCTCACAAATACATTCTTTGCGAGGGGTTTATGCACACCGGCATCTGCCGGATGACAGCTGCCAGGGGCGGATGCTGTCCTTCAAAGGAAGAAACATGCATGGTTACTGTTTGGTGTGAGTGCAGCATTGAATTATTGAGTGGTGTTTGGCGCACGGTGTCTCAACAAAAGTTGTTGTGCACGATATTTCCAACCAAACGCACACAGCTGTTACGCTCATGCTGCTGTGCACACATTGAAAATGTATGAGCAGCACGGCCGCCAGAACAGACATATCAAAAGCACACCACGAGGGACGACTCATTAGCAGGTCAGTCCCAGCCCAGACCACACCAGCCAACTAAAACTCGGCGCGGCTCGGCGCAGCTCAACAGGACCCGCTGAACTGTGCTCACAGAACAAACTTGAAACTCTCCAGCAGCGACGCGCGCGCGTCCACGCCGTACCGCTCCGCGTTGATGCCCGCGCTCAGGTGCCCCCCAGTCACGGTGTCAAACTCCCAGCCGCTGACCTTGCCCAGCCACTCCCGCGCCGCGTCGCGCTTCAGCAGCATCTGCAGGAAGGCGACGGGGCAGCCGACGCGCTTCCGGATCCCCACCAGGTCCCCGATTTTCCGCTGCAGCGGCGTCGGCATCCCCTCCTCCTCGAACGCCCCGAAGAACAGGTCGCCGCTGAAGACCGCGCCCGCGTGCTTGGCGCAGAGCACGGCCTCCTTGAACAGGCCGAGGGGCCCGACGAACAGGGCGAAGTCGACCTCGTCCCCCAGGGCCTGCGTCATGGCGGGGCCAATCTCCTTGACATTGGGGCCAGCCGAGATCTTGGCGTCGCCGATGCCCGGCAGGTTGACCTCGGTCAGACCTGCGGCGTGTGCATATTAGGTTGTGTGTTTGCGTGTGTCTGAGGGATGCTGCGTACTTGGATATTTGGGTGTGCGCATATGCGTATGTGTGTGTGTGCACGTGCGTGTGTGTGTGGATGCGTGTGCACGCGTGTGTGTGTGTGAGTGTGTGTGCGTTGTGTGTGTGTGTGTGTAGTGTGTATGTGTGTGTATGTCTGTGTCTGTGCACGTGCGAGTGTGTGTTCTATGTGTGCACGTGTGCCATGCACATGTTGATCAAAAGGGAACCAAGGGGCCTGTGCTAGAGCATGCGAGGCAGTACAGGCCAGACTGCTTTAGCTCAAAGCTCAGGCTTGAACGTACGAAAACAGGGCCGCTTGCAAATCCACCACCCTGACACGCAAGCCTGCCACGCTCATGGCACTACCAAACGTCAAGGCCCTACGCTGCCCGGCCAGCCGCGTGCCCCTCCGCGCCGCTCACCGGGGCACACCCAAACGGTCGCGTCGGGGTGATGGCTGGCAAAGGCGTTGACGTAGAGCCAGTGCTCCGGCGACAGGGATGGCGCCACTATGTGCTCCACCCTGCCGGGCAGGGAGGCCACCTGGTCCAGCATCTCCGGGGTTGGCGCCACGGGGGCGTAGACCTGTCGCGAGGTTTTGGGAGGTGCCCAGTCAGGGCACGCAAGCCTGATGGCGAGGAAGGGGACGCCACTGCAGATTTGAGCGCTCGCGGCGTTGACATCGTCGAACGTGTGCTGCTTTGTTCGCATCCAAGTCAGTTGGGTCCATGGCAAGGCAACTTACGCAATGGAACCAGCGTTGCTGCTGTATGCTGCAGGTGTCCCGGCAGCAGCTGCATCATTGGCAGGGGTACAACCAGCCCCACCACGCCGCTGCGCACGCACCAGCAGGCCGCCGCTCTGAAGCTTTGCCACAGAGCAGTTCAGGCAGATGGACTTGGCACCCTCCTCTGGGAAATCCTGCCGCAGTGCCCACAGCTTGCCTTCCTGGGGTTTTGTGGGTGGTAAAGAAGGGGGGGGGGCAGGACTGGCACATCACATGTCGGGTGCACTGCAGAATGACAGGTCCTGCACACCCACATACGTGCGGAGGCGGCCACTGAAGCAGGCACATGCCGTGCCCGTATGTGATGTATGCGTGGAGGGCGTACCGCACCTTGATTGTGACGAGCTGTGTGTTTTTGACGCCCGTGGGAGGCAGCGGGCCATTGAACTTGCGCCGCTCGTCAGAGGCCACCAGCGTTTCTGCGGCGGCACGCACGCGCAGCCGTGCGTGGCCCCGATTCCCACGCATTTGGCATGATGCCACGCTCGTCTTTGCATTGCGCCCACTACTGGGTAGTTGGCTGCGAGAGTGGAGCGCCATTGGGATCGCGGCTGCAAAGCTCGGCCTACAGTACACGTAATTGCTCGTTTACAAGCGCACTGATGCCATTACACCGTACATTGGGATGCAAATGAGTTGCGCCACACATCGTCAGGGCGGCGATGCAGTTGCACACACCAGTCGTAGCACGCGCAGCGTGGGATCGGGGTGCCTCGGCGCGCATACCGCAGTTCGCTGGCGTTGGATGAGGAAAACATGTACACATACAAAGAGCACAAGCAATATACAATGTAGGTCTGCGGAGCAGCGGATCGCGCACAGTGCGGAGCCAGGCGCGCGCGGTCGCCACCACCAGGAGTGTCAACCCAGGCCTGCGCTCCCCAGCAACGCCCACTCGCCCGCTAGCGAACAGCTGGGCCCTCGAGGATCGGCCAGACCCTCTATTGCATAATCGTAGAGAAGGCCCTCTGACGTCGCCACAAGCAGAGATATCTGGGGTCGGAAGCGCAGGGGGGGAGGGGAGCCCGCATCTCAGCTGGTGGCGCTCTGATTGAAGTGCCTGCAGACGTGAGCCCGACTGGCGGACCGCACACGCAGATACCATATTCTGACCACGCAGATCGGCTGCATGGCCACAATACGCATGCTGTACACGGGTGTTGCGCCAAGAGCTGCCCCAAGGGGCCCGCCGCCCGCTCACCGCGCCCCCGAAAGCGTGCGAGGCCGACAGGCTGCCCGTGGACGCGCCGCCCCCTTCCCCGCCGCCGCTGCTCGGCCTCTGCAGCGCGCAGATGCTGGCCGCGCCGTGGCAAGGCAGCCGAACGGTCGCAATGTTGCGCACAGGGTCCACCTGCAAGGGTGGCCAGTGGACCCGGAGAGGGGGAAAGGTTCCGTTCCAGACCCAACAAACAGCAAAGCACCTGGGCAAGCCCTGATGCCAGGCAGGGCTCGTGCAAGGCCACACGCACCCCTCACCCCCGTCCCTGTTCGCATAGCAATTGACACCCAAAAACCCACGCGCCCGCCGCGCGTACGCACCATGTCAGTCACCGGCAGCTTGACGACCGCCGACAGCAGCCCCGCCGCCATCGACGCCGCTGCCATAGCGGGGTGCCGCTCCGCCGCCTCCAGCCGGAACAGGTGCACCGTCCCGTGGCTGCTCGCCGCCGCCAGCAGCCGCGGCTCCACGCCCGGCGGGCTGAACGCCAGGCAGTGGACCGTCGCCGCCGTGGAGCCGCGGCGGAAGCTGAATATGCGGCTGGCGCCCGGCTGGATCGCGTGGACGCGCACGACGGTGCCCGTGCTGGAAGCCGTGGCCAGCAGGCTGCCGTCCTGGCTCCACGCGATGGCGGCGAGGGGCGCCTTGTGGGCGCTGATCTCCACCAGCGCGTTGCCGCCGTCGGCGGCCAGGTCGTACACCTGTGTGCGCAGATGTGAGAGCATGTGTGTTGAGGGTGGTGCACGCATGTGAGCATAAAAGAAGGTGCATGTGTGCATCTTTGTGTAGATTGGGTTGTGTGGGGTGTGTGTGTGTGCGTGCGTGCGTGCGTGCGTGCATGCATGCGCAAATGGGGAAGAGGGGGCAGGCACATGCAGCAGCATTGATGATTGCTGCACAATTCTTCTCTTGGCGTGCGCGCCCAGCAGGGGCAGCGAGCGCCCACGGGCGGCCCTGATGCGTAGATGCAACGCCACTGCCTGCGCCGCGTGGTGGGCGGGCGGCCCACATACGCCGCACCTGCAGCGTGCCCGCAGTGCTGCTGGATGGCAGCGCAAGCAGGCACGGGTCCCCGGGCTCGGCAGCCGGCGTGAGCGCGGCGAGGCCGCGCGGGTTGGGGGCCGTCTCCAGGGAGCGCAGGTGCTCAAGTGACTGCAGTGCGTACACATTGGTGCGGCGCTCCAGGACCACCACCAGCCTGGTGGGGGGGGGGGTCGGCGGTGTGTATGAG